ATTTTGTTTGTTGTGATTTTTATTTTGAAATTATTTTTTATAACCTTTTGTACTTTGGAAATTAATATATTTCATGTTTGTTATAGCCTATAGCTGCTATACATACAATTTATACATATAAAAATGAAATTCAGTATGTTTACTCTTGTAAAAGTGTTTTTGTTATTAATTTTCATAGAAAATGGTGAGATTGTCTTCTGCATATAGTTTGTTGCTGAATTTGTTTTTCATTTAGTATTCAATATTCTTGCTAGTTCATATATTATTTTGAACATTACTCAATCATAAATTTGCATTTTTAGATAGTAGATAGTATAGGTTAGGATACGCCCAATTTCATTAACATTAGTCACTGTGGTGATCAATTAACTACCAAAAATACATCGAATGCCCCATAATTTGCGATATTAACATAAATATTTTTCAGCTGTAAGCATTAAATGCTGGGAGTGCAGATCTGATGCAGATCCTAAATGCTCCGACCCATTTGACAACACAACCTTGGCAATTACTGATTGCAAACAATTAAGGTCACTTGATTACCTGCCAAATGTTCAAGCAACAATGTGCAGAAAAATCCGACAGAAAGGTAAGCTATGCTACTTGTATTCAATAAATGAGTTTGGTGTATCTGTATGATCAGTTAAAGGAAACATTGCAACACCAGACTATCAAAATAATGATAAAAGTTTTGCTTAGCATGTTGAATTGTCGGAGAAGATTCACATGAAGATTTCTGCAACTTTTGTTTTGGCACATCTCAGCACTCTTAAGTGCCCTAGCGCATGCACTCTTTATTTGATTGTGATGCATTTTAAAGCATTTTGTAGAGGAAGGTTGGGCCTATATTTGCCAAAAACTGCATTGTAATTAGACAAGCAGTAGTGCTAAAATAAGTCAAGTGGTCAAAATGGTGACATGCTAATTAAGTTGAGCAGTGTATTTATCTAAAACTACTATGCTTCCAATTGTATGGGAAATACATAGAATACAAGAAAATATGCTTCTGCAAAAACAACAATATTTAAGGATGCATGAATTCTTTCGACTTGCCTGAAAGGTGATTTCAAGAACTATTTTGCCTTAGTAAAATGCTGGCTAAAGAATTAATCACTTTGAAGGACCACACATCACGGAAAAAGAAAATGTGAGAGGAATCATGATAGAAAACATGGTATGTGCTCTCTGTTTCTATGCAACAGGCTCATATCAAGTTGTATAGGGAAGACTATAACATTGGTATAGCACAAAATACTGTCATCTCATAACTGACATAATAGATGCTAGATATTAATTAATCCTAAACTGATTCTGAGTCTGGCCTATTTTCTGCTTTTGTTTTACTGAAAAATCATCAATGTCAAGTGCATGCCCATCAAAAACTGTCAAAAATCAGTCATATTTTTTGATTTTCAATTTGATCAATTATTGTGAACAGATCAATCAACTGTATTGCTAAGTCTTCAATTTAGTTGAGTAGAGTAACATGACCTCGGTAAGGGTATAAAAAGGGGGAGTTGAATTTAAGAAAATTCACTTGACCTTGAAAAAGCCTTGATGATCATAGTCGTCGTCATAGTTAACATGACCGTCATTTTCGTCCATGAAAACCATACAACTTTTGGAACCTTTTTCAATGAATTATAGTTTTTGAAATATTTAGGTGGGGTGATTGAAATGGAATGTATAAACATATAACCTAGTATGGGGTAAATGCAAACAAGTTTATGTTTGGACTCTTTCTTTTTGGGGAATGCACAGAATGCTGTAGAATCAGTGATAATGATAGGGAGTAAATGTATCTGTTTCTCATTTTTTTCAAATGAACATAAAAACCACTGAAGGTATGGTTACCTGCAATAAAGTTAAAAGCTCTATGATCTTTTTAAATAGAAGATCTAGTTAATTGATTTCTGTTGATGAAATATAGTCCTAAATAAAAAAATGTTTTTCAACAAATCAAAAATTTGATACTGGGTAACAACCCTTAAATTAATAAAGTGAATCATTTGGTTTTTAAACATGAATCAATGGGTTATTATTAATGTGGATCTAAAAAAAGTACATTGAGAATTTTAGCAGTAGGAAGTATCAAAAAATTACTTCCATATCTAAATACTTTTGCGCCAAAGTGTGACATAATAAGTTTGACTCTACTGTCAAAGTTTTCCACACTGCTCTTAGAGTACTATATAGTCCAGGTAGTATATTTGCATCTGCTCGGAAAAATACTCTGATTTGGATTTTTTACATAATCGTATTCAAAACCTTTTAACGAATTTGAACGTTGCTCAAAATTGCACCAACTATTGTTTAAACAATCTTTTCCATGAATTTCATGTCTTTTTTAAAGTTTTTGGATCATTTTGAAAAAAGCTCTTATGAACGTTTCTCTAAAGTTGATGGTTTTTAATATATCTTTGAAAAAGAATATGAAAAACGGACATTTTAATGCTCTCAAAGTTCTTAAAAATTCTTCAAACATCCATCAACAAAGTTCCAAAGCATTTCAAATGGTACTGTTATTGTAAACCTTCGTTTTTTAATTGTTTGACAAACGCATGGCCATGGCATTGAGCGCGCGCTGTTTGTCAGCTGTGGGAAAAATTATAATTTTCTCTCTGATATTCGTGGTCTTATTCGGATTGTATAGTTATATTCTATACATTTCTGGGATAAAATTTACATTCCTATTGGCGGATACCAGAACTTCAAATGATTAAAATGTATCTTGAAATGAGACGTTAAAAATGCAACTTTGTCGAGTCAAGCTAGAAAATACCTTTATATTACTACATATTGTTACAAAACAACCATTTTTTGTCATGTGTTTCTTTACATTACAGTGCACGGTGTATGGAAATACATACGTAGCTGTGCGTACCTTGGGGAGCCTGGCTTAGGTGGCGATGAACGGTTCTGCTTGATGCGTACAGGCACTTACAATATTTTCATGGAATATTGTACTTGCAACACCAAAGATGGTTGTAACACAGCATCAAGTTTGAAATTACAGTCACTTCTTATGTGGTGTTCAGTCTTAGCATTTATAACATGCAGATACTTAAGATAGCCTTTTATTTAACTTAAGGACAATACTGAAGATGCACATTATCGAACAAAATTAAAATGATTGGAAACAGAATTGCGCTAAAGGTTTTGAACCATTTTTTCCAAGACAACCAGTACCTTATGTTGGTTAGCTTGCTATCATAAAAATGCGTTATTAGATGTTTTAAAAGATATTTAAAAACTCATCAGTTTGATATGACTGATATTAATTTCAAATTACCTGTTTTTGTTAGGAATTTTGGACTTATCTAATTATGAAATGTGAAGTAGAAGTGTTATTCTGATATTTCACTAAACAAGAAAAGCAGAAAAAATAACAAATATACCTTTCTACAATGAATCATTTTGGTATCTTTTCTCATTAATTTTGACTGATATGCATGTTAAGTTGACTGAACTCTTATGAAAGGAATCTCATGGATGCTAATACACTGTATTATATTTATGTTCAATATGCATTGCACTGTTAATATTAAGTTGCATGTTTTAAGTTTAAAGTTTTTTAATTTAGTCTGTATAGCTTGTACCGAAATATCACTCGGTAATATATTTATAACCTGTAGTACAATCATTTCAGACATCAGTAATATTATCCATATATTGAGCATATTTTGAAAAGAAATCTCTGATATTCATATCATACATGTAACATTTTAGTAGCTATTGCGATACATTTTATGTTTTGTATTTTTATATATAGAGCTGCTTAACTACTGTCCGTCCAATTTTTGTATATTGTTATTAAAATAGGCGTATCCTTAATTCACTGATTGAGCCACTGGTGCAACCAGTTAGCCAATTTGGCGTCCTCTAATTTCCGCTGGAACGACCGGTTGTACACCAAACTTGGCTCAAATGGCGAATTAAGGATACGCCTAATTATAAAAATAAATGGTGTTATTTTTATGATGCAGTTTATTTTCCAACTCAACAAACATGTCTGAGGTACTAGACTAAATGCTCTGAGAAGGAAGTGTAATTTTTTTCGTGCCACCTAAGAAATGTGTTAACAACAATCACACGCAACCTTTTAGATACACCAAACTATAAATTAAAAATAATACAAGTAGCTTGCTTCCTATACTTTAGACTGCAACAGATGGAAGAAGCTTTCCGAAGTTGGAGTAATTGAATCATCCTAAGACTTTTATGAATCAGTTTTGACTGTCTTCAGAGGCAGAAAATTACGAAACACTAAAATCTGTTTAAGCTATTTAATAAAAAAAAAATCCGGAAAAAATATTGTCAAGTAGCCTTGGTAGCTGGATACTTCGTAGGCATTCACATATGACTACATAATTTCGAATTTTCCATATGTATAAAATGAAAATCCTTAACAGGCAAATACAAGCATATCAGCTCCAGAAATATATGTTTACGTGGGCCAAAACATGAAGAATTAGAGAGAAGTGGTGCAAGGTAATGGACAAGGACGATAAAATTGCCTCTTTCGGAAATATCATTGAACTGTAAATCTCATTTTCTTCCTCTCATCTCATATTAGTGTATGCGTCTATTATGATGGATAAATAACCTAATTGTTGTAAACGGTGTTATGTAAAAAAACGACAAAATGAAAACTTTTGCAGACTAGGTAGTTAGATCGATGTGAGCGTCATCAAAAGTATCTATGGAGGAATGAGTCAACGACACGATATGCTCAAGCATACATTGTTACTTACAGAAAACCAAGTAGCGTTTATCTCCTGAGTAGCCAAATCGCATCTGGATGATTATGTGTATTGATCTGCATGTGTATAACATCAGTGATGTGATAGATATGTGACAAAATTATAACTGTATATACTGCCAATAAAGTAAATCTGATTAGCTGTGCCCGACGGGTTATTTATAGTTTTCCTTTCTGAAAAGGCGTTGTGTGTAATTACTGTTAACACGTATATGACTTGTAATTCAACAGCATACACAGAATATGATTGCAATATGTGGCAGTATGTAAGTATAAAATATAAGATTCCAGATAAAGTTAATCACATCACGGACCAGGGCTTTTCTTCTTTTTTTTTTCTCTCTCATTTTTGAAATTCAGCAAATTCGCATATGTAATTTCCAGAATGAATAAGAAAAAGTGGATGCGCAACTAATTTCAAGCTTTAAATACATCTCAACTAAGTGTATTTGAGACAAGAAACCATTTGTGTGCTAATAATCTTCAACACAAATCCTCACTGCACTACTGTTTCCTTCCAGCAATAGCATACAACTTACAGATAAGATCTCCATTAATGCCATCTCTGAAGCAGATGTTACATCACATCAGAGCCAAACATTGATAGCTGAAGCATCATAATGTTTAGGCAACACGTACAGCTACAAAAGAGTTCACACATCTAGTGCTAAGTTGACATCTTGTAGAAAAATCTACGTTATCTCACAAAAAACCCACAAAATGTCAAAAAAAATCAACATGTCACTTTTCAAGATACGTAATACCCGCGCCGGGATAGATTTTATTATTGCTATTTCGAGATGATGTGAATATTGCTATAATGGTCATATTGTAGTTGGAAGGGGAATACTCTCAAATATATCTCCTGGAAGAAGTGCGTATTACAGAGTAGAGCGCAGAATGGCTCTTAGTCGGGAACTGGCTGGTTTAATATTGCCTCATGACCATTTTGTGCCAGATTCGTAATTGACATATTAAATATTTATTAAATAGAAATTTACATTTATAATATTCCTAGTACAAAGATCGACAATCCTTATTTCTCCCTAGGGTATCGAGATTGTGAAACAGTGTACCCGAGGAGGATTTTCCCAGTTCTATTAACCATAATCAGTTCATAAATTGAATCAACAAAGTTTCTTTAAGTTCGTTTTATAGTAACCACGGTGCACTAGTATTTAGGCTTCTGTCTTCGCAACTGCTTCGGTTTTTAAAAAATAAAATTTTAATTCGTAATATTCATTTGTCCCATCTGGTAACCCTACCCCTGTCCCCGACGCATATAAGGCTAGATTCGCCCTTACGTACTTCCGTGACGTACCCTTGAATGAAGGGGCCAACATTAAATCCACATGAAAACATGAACAGACTAAAACACGAATTAGACAGTAAAAACTAAATATTGCCAATTTGTTTTAAATGTTTTAGCACCCTAAAATCAAGATAATTACTTGCATTTTGAAATTTGTTTTTTTTAACTTAAATGCTCAACTTTAGTTACTAATGAGTAGGTATATGAATAGTTCAAGATGCACAAAAATCATTGTAAAAATAATGGTACTCGTAATAGATTTTTTAAGACTGACTACATTTCTTATTTATTTTTTTAATGATATGTATTTACAGTTTATTGTTTTTACATGCATAATAACTTAATAAACATTCTCAGAACATTTTATTTTTGATATCTACTCATTAATTTCTGACTCTAGGCTCAGATGACAGCAGTGTAGTTTGCCTTACAGTATACTATAAATTCAGACACAGGATCATTTTCACCATCACCTCTCATGGTACCTGTGATTTCATCATTCTCTACCATTGGCATGAACAGGTGAACAAACTCGGAGCTATATGGAGGTCCTATTGTTTCCAAAACCTCAGTTACAAAGTATCTGATCAGTGAAATATCTGTATCTCCTTTTTGCCAACATTGTTTAATATATTTCACCAATGGTACAACACAGCCTGAACACAGCAGGTTCACCATTCTATCTAGAACCATTTTTCTCATTTCTAACTGTACCAGGATCTCCAGCTCATCTTGCTTAGATTCAAACAATCTGACAAGCAAATCCAAAACTTGATTATGTAACAGTGGATGTAAGGTCACCACTTCATCAAGAAGTGCTAAATGTATAGGAGTATGTTCTGTACATAGTTTAAAGTAACTTGGCTCCGTTACAGTACATTCCACCCATCTGATTATTCCTATCGATACCACAGGATACTTCAAAGACTGATAAATTTTAGAGAGTTCAGCAATCAATTCTGAACTTCCTTTGTTGCCATTACAAATATTATGTACTGTTTCTATAGCACGTATAGTTGGTTGTAACTCATCTTTGTTAGATATCCTCTTCTGACCTTTCTTTTGTTGCACTTCTGAAACACTTGCTGCATATGCCAACAGATGAATGTACTTTGGTTTGTAGTCAGGATTCAGTTTTACTCCTGGCTTAAACAGGGAATCTATGAGTAGTTCTAAAAACTGAGGAGTTCTTATGAGATCTAAAGGAGGTGGATCAGGAGCATTGTAATTCCTGTATAGAACAGTAATATCTGCAGGGTTTAATGTGTTTTTTGACATCATAGCCATTAATGCTTGGCATGCTGTGGGATATGCGGAAGCACCATTAAGTGCCATTGTTATGGGAGTAACATCATGTCCATTCTTTTGTGCACATTTTGTTATTTCTTGTGAAAGCCTTTTCATCGCACTTCCTCCTTTTGATTCCCTAGCTAAAATATGTATTATAACTTGACTATAAACATATGTATGTTGTCCATGGCAGACCATTTTTGCACACTCTTTACTTGTACTCTGCCACTCCTCTGGATTTGTCAGAAAACTTGATATTGATGTTTTCAATACTCTTGAGAATACTTCAAGTTGTTGGGCAGCTGTAGATATACTAGTAATTTCTCCTTGAAATCCAGCATCTGATATCAGCTTAATGGTGAAATTGAGCATCAAACAGTCTGGATATTCTTCAGCTAGCCTATATATTAGTGACCTCCATGTGGGATGCTCTATTAACTGTGTCAGCCAAGCAGGGGTTTCTCCCTCTTCAGTGAATATTGTGTCGGCTTTCTTCGGATCAAAAGTCTTTAAAATCATCTCTTTCAAGTGATTTTCTACCATGGCTTGCACGTCTGTTACTTTCACGCCTCCAATAATTAACCACTCAGCAATCAAGTTTGCCATCTGTGCTACAGCAGTATAATTCTGAGACAGCTCTTCGATAACTTGAAGAGGGTCTCCACCAGCTTGGAAATAACGCTTGAGCTGAGTAAATATTCCGGGCTCCATGATGTAATCGGGGGTAGCAAATTTCTCTGCACATTCTGCCAATACGTGTTCTGGGTTTTCAGGTTCTTCTCCGCCATCTGACTCGTCGCCCCTGTCGGTGTCCCAGTGTCTGTCTTCATAGTCTTCGTCCATTTTATTATAAATAAATCCTAAATTTAGGGACAAGACTAAAATACAAAATACAAACAAGACTTGTGTTGGCGCGATTAGCGTTTGTCAACAAAAAAATAACCTCATTCACAGAAAAATGGAGATGGGTTCACGCTTAGGTTCACGGAACAATGACAGCTAGTTACCTAGTAATATTTCAAAATTCCCCATACCAGCAAAGGACACATGATAAATTCCGAGAAATCGCTGAACTACAGGTAGACAAACCCGTATTTTGTTGTTCTTTGTACGCTACAGATTCTTTTTGTACTCGCTATACAACTCTTATTTAAAAAAAGTTTATTTGCATCCAAAAGAAACGCTACAAACACAAAGGCTGCTAATGACTACGACTACATTTCAAGTGCAGGTTGATGGATTGAGCAAGACCAATTCCTTTTACATCAGTGTGGTATTTTATACAAGCTGTGTTCATTATTAATTTTTATTGTCACATTTACCACCCACATAAAAATGTAATCCTGATATGTGAACAACAGCTCTGAATACGGTCCCAAAATTCATCATCGTCAACGTTTCAAATTAACACAAAGATGTCGCTTTTGTGATCAGCTGTTCAACTGTTCAGCTCAAAGCGTGATGGCGTAACAATTTTCCTGTCTGTGGTCCGTATCATTCCTGAAATTTTTGACATCTATAATTGACATTCCCGCCCTCGGCAGCTTTGCCGTTTATTATTATTTTTATTAAATAATCCATTGACAGTTATGCATATTTTATGATTAAGAATTAAATGTGCAATTACAGTAGCGAAAGAATGCTTCACTTTGTCGCCGTGATGCTGCCGCACGGGTATTCAACTAGTTGACGTCGGCTGTGGTATTACGTATCTTGAAAAGTGACATTTCATAGGTTTTTATCTACATGTTAACTTAGCACAAGCTGTTGTACACTTGTTGTGAACCAGTTTTGTAGCTGTATGTGTTGCTTAAACGTCAGCAAACAGCGATTATGACGAGCCACGACGCATCACAGCAACACTGAGGCATCACACGCAAAACATTTTCACAGTGCCTCACATCTAGGCGCTGATTTGTATACTTGACATCCCAAAATAAATTTTTATAAAAGTTAATAACTGGGAACAAGAATAATGTAAAATGCAATAGCCTTTTTACATTTCCTAAATCTTATTTGTCTGTAACCTATTGTTTCACCTGTTAGCTGTAACATACTTCACAAACCAGGGATTTTCTTTTTTACCTGTCACATTTTTGAAATCCTGCAAATTTGCATACCTATGTAATTTCTTGGATGAACAAAAAGTTGTTGCGCAACTAATTTCTAGCTTTGCATACATCTCAAGTGCGTGTATTTGAGACAAGAAACCAATGGAGTTACCATCCACACAGACTAGTAGCACACAAATCCTCATTATCAAGGGTCAGTGGCAGTACATAGGGATGCACTGCCGTTTTATTCCAGCTATAGTATACAACTTTCAGCTTAGAGTGGCTTAGACCGCCCATAGTGCCACCTCGGAAGCACATGTTACATCACATCACACCTACAGCTTCAAAACGAGAATCGTACTCTAGAAGGGTTTATTTCTGTCGTACTCCTTACAGAAATATTCCCCATTTCTAACATTTTAATCAAATTCAAGCGGATCACCAAATGGAAATAGTATTTACCATTTTGGGTTGGTATTTACCGATCCGTTCAAGCGAGTGTTGTTATCAGTTTGGTTATAAGATCCGTGACGTCACGAATCAGCTGTTATATATCATAGTTATCACCGCAAAATTGTGGTATTTACCCAACTCAAGAGTATTTTTATATTTCTGGTTATTATTTGAAATGTGACAAGTTAGAATTTTGCCGGGTATTGGATATTGTGATTGTACTTCAGCTTCATTTTGAGAAAATTGATACAGGCTAACTTCAGTTTTACCATAAAGTGGAGCACCTTATTAGTTATACTCATTAGGGTTGTTGGGGACACTTTAAATGTAGTTCCTATGCTTAACAAAATATCCTGTGTAGCCATATACCACAAGAATATGAAAATATGGCCATATAAACTCACTAGATGATATCCACCTGTATACGGTTTTGCTAATTTCTTTTTTCATCATTTCTGCTGAATCAATAAATGTTTTCTTTGACATGCGGAAAAATTTAGAGAATTGAAAGTTATCATAGCTACGAAGCCATGGTTCCATCATTAAAAAAATCTGAAAAAAAAACATTTCTCCCATGAATATTATGAAAGGTTTCTTATTTAAACTTTCCATACACAGTTGTTGACGAAAAAGCACTGATTATTCAGAGATAATAAAAATAATCCGAGATTATATACGCGCTTTTCTAAAATAAACAACTTGCAACAAAACCGCGGTTAAAACCAACGCGTTCAAGCGATTCGTGTAACTGACGTCATCAACCCTTGTGTCATCTTGAACCATATTATAACCGCGGCACATAACACAGAAATTTTGGTTATTCGCTTGGATTTGATTTTTGTCTCCTCCTATGTCAAATGTCAATTAGTTGTCATCACGTTTTGACGCTTCTCTCCTTTCTTGTCCCTCCCCCCTTTGATGGTTCGTTTCGTTTTCAGTTTTCATGCTCTCTACCTTTCGTTGAAAGACGTTTTTAGAGTCAGCTTCGCGTTTCGTGTCAAACGACTTAAAAAAGTAAGTAAATACTTTTATTATAAAATATTATAGTATTTCTCTTTCTGGATATTTCCGAATAACCATACGCATTTAAAACTTCCAAAAATGTGAGAGATCGATGAGATTTTCAGAGATTGAATGTAATTGTATAGGTTAGGTTGTTACATTTTGCAAGTATTAAACAAATGTTTTCTTCCTAGATGCGTTACGTGGCTGCCTATTTGCTAGCTGTCCTAGGGGGCAAAGCCTCTCCATCAAGTGCGGACATCGAAAAGATCCTGGGGTCCGTTGGTGTTGAAGCCGATGGGGAAAGGCTTAAGAAAGTCATCTCAGAGCTCAATGGCAAGAGTATCGACGACCTGATTGCCCAAGGTAAGCTAGGAGTACGTCTTGGTGAAGCCGCGAATAAGAGCCATGTGATAATACACGTTTTAAGCAAATTTTAATATTTAGTCTGAATGACTTCAGCCGCTTCATATTATGCTGAAATTTTCATTTTAAGTTGGATGATACCTGTGAAAACTGGTTCCACAGGTTTTTTATCAAGAGACAAAAAATTAAGTTTGAGAAATCAGAAAATAGCCTGTATTCTAAAATATCCAACTTAAATACAATTAGCTCACCTTCACTGCAGTGAAAATCCTACAATTTACAAATTAGAATAGGTTTCTGGATGACTGAGCATCTGAAAAATGTAGTATGTGGATATGAAAGGATATGGCACATTCCTTATTTCAAATGGCTCCCGGTCAAGTTGACTGAAATTTTAGTAAGTTCTACAGTCTCCACATCAATATGATCAAGACTCTATTGCACTATGGTCCTAAAATCAATCATTTTCAAGGTTCAGGCTATTCAAGCTTAACAAATTCTATAAACACCATGATTGATATATATATATATATATACAGGGTGACTTTGAAGTTGAGTCATTAATTTTCAGATAATGATTGTAGAAGGAAGATAAACCAAAATATGTGTGTAAAAATAAAAAAAAATTAAAAAAAATGTTACCTTGTTTTATAAAGTATCCTCCCGACAAGTATTTCAGTGCGGACCTGTGCACCCAAAAGCATGTCACAAAAACTGTTCGAAATGATTTCCGTTTTGCTCGACGCACAGCTGGGCGCGTCTTAGCCATGTCTCTTTACAAGCACGCAATAAAATCACTGGTTGATTTCTGATCACTGTACTCATTTCCTCAATTCGAGCACGTAATTCTTCGCGTGTATTAACCGGTGTTTATACACTAGAGTTTTTAGCCAACCCCACAAACAAAAGTCTAAAGGATTTAAGTCCGGAGACCTTGGCGGCCAAGGTACAAAACCGCCACGGCCGATCCAACGATTATTAAATTGTCTATTTAAAAATTCACGCACATTTCTTGCATAATGGGGTGGTGCCCCATCTTGTAAAAACCACATGTTTTGTCTAATATTTAAAGGCACATCTTCCAGTAAACCAGGCAAATTGTGTTGCAAGAAATCAAAATAATTTTCACCAGTTAAGCGATTTGGTAATTCAAAAGGCCCCACTAAAATTCCATTAACAATTCCCGCCCACAGGTTGATTGGTTCAAATCGCTGTTGAAAATTGGTTTCCCTTATTTCATGGGGATTTTCAATAGCCCAAACGTGAGAATTACGTGAATTAATAATTCCGTTTCTAGTAAAGAGGGCTTCATCACTCACTAAAATTTGATTTAAAAAATTGTCATCATTTAATGTTTATTTAAAAGCCAATTGCAAAAGTCAACCCTTTGTTCATGATCTTCCGGTTGTAAGGCCTGCACTTTTTGTATGTGAAACGGATAGAACTGATTTTCACGTAGAGTTTTCCAAGTTTTATACTGACTAATCGCCAATTGAGTTGAAATTTGTCGGGTGCTTACTGTTGGATCATCACTTACTAATTCTAAAATTTGTTCTTCTAGTTCTATTTGATCGTGTGGTCTTGGAGCACCGGCATGATCTCCTCTGTGAGGTCTTTGCACTACATTAACAAAGGCACGAGGGGTTGGTTGCACTCGATTGGGAAACCGATCCGCATAGATCCGTGATGCCGCGGCAGCATTTTGTAAAGACTCCCCGTAAATAAGAACCATGTCCACAAGTTCAGCATTTTCGTAAACATGTGCCATTTTTGATTTGAGCCTCGCAACAGACACGATTATTCAATTACGCGTTACCGACTACCGACTGATACTGACTGTATACAACTGAAGAAAATAATTGTAAAAAGATCGTTCCAAATTCTTTCGCTTTTTTGTTTCCGATGCGATGAACGGATAAGGCGGATTATATCTGTTGTTGCCAAACACGAGAACATAATATCATTATTGAGACAGGGCGGTACTCAAACTTCCAAAGGGCTATAACTTTGTTACTTTAATTTTACCAGAAAAATGGTAAAGGAAAAAACATTTCTTTTGATCAGATCTACTCACTGTTAAAATAAATGACTCAACTTCGAAGTCACCCTGTATATATATTTTTTCTGTTGATTAGAAACTTAGCACCACCAACTGGATGTCATTTTTTCAGGCACTTTTTGATGGTATCCAATTATTACAATCTCATATATTGTGTATATCATTTCTATCAATGGTCAGAAGGCTGAATTATAAATGGTTTCCAAGTTAGAGAATGCACATGTCATTAAAATATTGTTGAAAAATGTTTCACAGTGAAATTGGCAGAAATCTTTAATTTGCATTCTCTTCATGCCATTAATCAAAAGTCATAAGCAGAAGGCAGTAGTTACAGGGTGCGCAAGTGTAGCATATTATGCTGGTTTGAAACAGAATTAAGTAAGGCCACATTTACATTACATATTCTCAGACAACAACATAATCAACATCATATGTTGGCGAACTTCTTATGGAATTTGTTGAAAGTCATACTTTATCAAGTATAATGTTCCAACTATTTACCATTTTTATTCAGACTAATACAGAAGCAATTTAGACAACTTGACAGAATCATTTGCCACTACCAAACTTTTCAAGAAAACAGAAATATGCTGCTAATTGTAGGCCAACATTTAGTACGTGGATCAAATCAACATTATACCCTTCAGTACTCGCGCGGGGTATTTATATACCCCACGCGTCATTCATAGTTGAGTACTATGGAGGGGGAAATGCGAAATAGCTCGCCGCCTCGCGTATTCCTTAGATTCAGTTGTGTAGTTATATCTGCTAGCACCGAGTGTCATTTGAGTTCGAGAAGGTTGAAGAATACGCAATTGAAGTTGATTGGGGTCTTTACGTACCCCACGCGAGTACTGACGTAAAAGTTTTGGTAGGTTATATTTAAAGTATTTGACGTATTTCTGATAAATATTTTCAACTTTTCCAAGGCAAAGCCATGGACAACGTACGTAGCAATGATCCAAGCAGTGGCTAAAATGGTTTGAAGAAATAGAGTCCGACGAGGAGGTTCTACGGGGAAGAAGACTCGGAAGAAGATGATGGCGACCAGGAAGAGGTACAAAGGAAGCGGTTCAGATACTGAGCAGGACCAAATTCTGATAATGAAGGTAGTGAAGGTGAATTACAAGCAGAAAAATATATTGAGCGGAACTGACATATATGTAGGGAAAGACAAGACATTTATATGGCAGAAAACAAAACCATCTTCATCTAGGACAAAAGCACATAACCTCGTCATGAAAATTCCAGGGCCTACTGGAGACGCAAAAAAGGCCAAATCGCATTTAGACTGTTTCCACGTTTTCATAGATGATTCCATGTTTACCAGAATAGTAGAATGTACCATATATATATAGAAAAACTCCGGGGAAACTTTACCCGTAAAAGAGATGCGCGACCAACTGATGTTTGCGAAATGAAAGCATTTGTAGGCGTTCTATATCTTGCTGGTTGTTTGAAATCTGGCCGACAGAATGTCTTATCTTTATGGAGCACAGATGGTTCAGGCATTGAACACATATACATTACGATGAGTTACAATCGTTTTAGGTTTTTATGTCGTTGTATACGCTTTGATGATATTTCTACTAGGGAGGCAAGACGGAGTTTGGATAAGCTGGCACCAATAAGGGACATCTTTGAACGTTTTGTCTTCAAGTGCAGAACTTCAGTAATTCCAAGTTCTTATTTGACAATCGACGAACAGCTGGTTGCTTTCCGTGGTAGGTGCCCATTCAAACAATATATACCTAATAAACCCAATAAATATGGTCTGAAGATATAGCATTGGCTGATGTAAAAACAATGTATACCTATAATTTAGAGATTTATGCTGGAGCACAACCTGAAGGGCCATTCTTAGTCAGTAATAAGCCGTCGGATGTCGTAAAGCGGCTTGTGGAACCGTTGAAAGGTACTGGACGAAATATCACCATGGACAATTGGTTTTCAAGTAGCCCTCTTGCTAAAGAATTGCTCAAGGATAAGCTTACCATGATTGGCACACTAAAAAAGAACAAGAGGGAAGTCCCTTTAGAATTTACAAACACACGTTCACGTACTGAAAATAGTAGCATTTTTGCCTTCACAGATTACTGTACATTAGTCTCTTATGTTCCAAAAAAATATAGGAACGTTTTATTATTATCCACAATG